TTACTCTAAGTTTTATGAATAAAATTCAAGTGGGTCGGCTAGGAGAGTGAGTGTTAGAATGTTCGAGTCAGGGGTATTTTGGTCATTCTGGTGTATCTTCTTGAAAGTGAAAGGTCTATTGTATCTGAGTTTAAGTTATGTGTCCCATTTTCTATGAGGGACAAAATTGTCTTTCTTTCGGCTAGGAGAGTGATTTTTCACATTCTCTCTTCTAGTCTGGCCGAATACAATTCTTTTTTGTTCAACTCTTTGAACAAGTGTTAAATCTTAAGGTAAATTTTAATAAGAGTTGCATTGCAGGGGTTATCCTTATGGTAAGGGAGTTGGAGGAGTTTGCAGCTATGTTGGGGTGTGAAGTGTCACAATGGCCACTTAAACACCTAGGGCTACCTCTAGGATATAAATCCTAGGAGTGTTAGCTTTTGGGACCTGGTGGTGGAAGGGTTTGCTAAGAGACTTGCTAGTTGTCAGTTTTTAGGTGGAATGATTACTTTAATCAGATTTGCCCTCACAAACTTACCAGTTTATTAGTTGTCAGTTTTCAAGGCTCCTAGAAAGATGATTAGAAAGAGAAAATGATGAGAGATTTTCTGTGGGAGCTAGGTGATGGAAGGAAAGATCACAAGGTTAATAGGGGGCAGGTCAGTAAAATAAAATCTTTGGGAGGGTTAGAAATTAGGAATATTGAGAGGAGGAACATGACTTTAATGGGAAAATAGGAGACTACCTACTAAAAAAAATGTTGTGGGTGAATGTTTTGAAGAGTATCCATGGGCTCTCAGCAAATGGATGGGACTTTGGAACATTTTCTAAGGCTTCCTGTGCTTCTCAGAAAGATATCAACACAATCTTGCCTTCCTTATATCAGGTATGAGGTATGCAATGGGGAATTTTTCAAAATTTGGGAACATACTTAGGTAGGGGACTCCCCTATACGGCCTCTCAAACTTCAAAAACCAGCTTGTCTCTTCTTTTTGTACCCACTCTATCTCACTTCAGGGTTGGATTGGGATATGGGATTTAGAAGGGGTGTTAAGGAGGGCGACTTGAATAGGGTGGTTGACCTTATCAATATCCTCTCCAGGGTTTTTGTGGATCCGTAAAGCCATGACCATGGAATTTGGACTTCCCTTCCGGATCCTTTACTTGTGATTCTGTCTTTAAGGCTCTATCCCAACCTTCTCTCCTAGTTGGCCCTTCTTTTCTGGTCAAAGAGATTCTGTCAACCCATTCCTCCAAGGATTGAGACCTTCTATTGGAAGTTTTTTGGGGGAAAAAATCAATACCTGTGACCTGCTTCAAATAAAGAGACCTAATTGGTCCCTCTGTCCTCAATGGTGTGTGTTATGCAAAACCAACAGTGAGACTTGCTATGACATTAATCTCGTGTTTTTTCTTCATGTAATTATGGGATTGGTTCTCTTCCTTGTTTGGGTGCAGGTGGACTCCCCCTGCTAATATGCAAGGCCTATTTTCTTCTAGCTTTATTGTCTCAGAGAAAGAAAGAAGCAAGATTGATATTGTAGACACTATCATGATCAAGGTGGTTCATTGGGTGAGGACCGTGGATCTATTTTCGTCATTCTCAGTAGATGACATCATGCTGAATTGGAAAGACGTGGCAGAATCTGATCCTGTTAAAACAGTCATTACATTACAGTTAGCTGAACTGCACCGGAGAGAAGATTTATCATATTAAATTTTGATGGAAGTTGTTTGGGTAACCCGAGAATTTCTGGAATAGGAGTTTTCAGAGTTGATGCTGGTAGAGTTGTGGCTTTATACTCTGGACCAGCTGGAAAAGGTGATTCTCTTGGGCAGAGGTATTGGCAGCAGTGAAAGGAGTACAAAGAACTGTGTCTCTATATATTAGGAAGCTGATAATTGAAAGGGATTAAAAATTGGTGGTGAATTGGCTTCAAAATGAAGAACCGAGTTATTGGTTATATAATAATTACAAAAAGAAGAAGATCAAATGGTTAACACAGAGTTTAGAGGTGAGAGTACAATGGGTGAAAAGAAGTGCAAATTCATTTGTGGATACTCTTGCTAGACAGGGGACGAGTAAAACTCAGCTTTTTTGGGCTCAATTGTAATTGAAGATACTTTCATTTCACTGTTTTCAGGGAGAGATAAGAGAGGTCATCTCTTGCTGGTTCATTTGGTGTAATCATTTTATTAATTCAATGAAAATTTTCAGTTATTGATAAAAAAAAGTTACTGTTGCACTCCACATGAAGGGGGAATGTTGTAATACTAACTGTACATGCCACTGGGGCATGCTAGTCTTTTTACTCAGTGTTAGCTATCCTATTATATTGTAAGAGAGTGGGCGCTTCCACCAATGATTTTTGCCTCTCCAACTTTTGACCCTTGTCTCCTCTCTCTGTATACTTTTCTTGCTCCTTGCACTTCTAAAACACTTACTATTGGTTCTCAGTACAGTTGCATTTTTGCTATTTATAACATGTGCCTACCAAGGAAAATATTGTCCAGGCATGTTTTGTAGATTTGTTATCTTACTTTTCACTTCTCTTCTAAATGATTATTTAACTACTCAAGATTATCATTCCATGTTTAAATATAGAGGGACCATGATACGATCCTTTTATATTGGCTCCACCACACATGCCAGATGATCCATCATAAAGATTCAGTTTTCTGTTGAAGTTTGTGACTTCCAATTTGTGAATCCCACTGAATTATAATGCTATTCTGAAGTGGATTATGATTATGCTTTGATCAAATATGTTTCTTAAGTTCAATTCAACTTGGGCAATCACATGAATACCAATCTACTATTGCATCCCTTTGCTATCATTTGACTTTTTGCTTATGTTTTGCCTGAGACACTGGATATTTGAAAACTTTGAATGGCTTTGTTCTGAAATTAGATGTTATGATTGGCTGGTTTGCAGAATCTATTTTTATATGGATATGGTGCTATATTCAATTTCCTAGCAATTCTTGGAACTGCTATTTTTAAAGGTATGGATACCCAAGTTCTGGTATGAACAAATGATGTTTTAAAGTCGGAACCAGTGCTTGGTTTATTGGCTTATTGGTTTTACTTAGCAGACAAGTTATGTTAATATGCATTGTCTTTAGTCTACTAAAGGGTCTTTTGATAACATTTGAATGGTTGAATTGAATATCTTGTTTCTTTCTCTTTTGGTGAATAAATCATTAAAGAGGTTGTAACGAAACTAAAGTTGAGTCAATTACTATGCCATGAAATATTTTATTATTTTAACATTTTATGCACCACAAGACAAAGCAATAAGTCATTCGGTTCAGCCACACAAGCCATCATCAAATGGTCTCTACGTCAGCTTCCGAAATGATTCCCATAGTATTATCCAGTTGCGTGTCAGAATTGACCCAATGTCAGGTTGCTATTTATTTTCCTTTGTAAACATGATATTAATGGAGTTTTGGAGTTGAGGACTGTAAAAATTCTATCCTCATACATACCAGGCATGAGCAAAACTTGCATACTCTTTTCTTCTTTAATAATGCTGCTAGAAGTTAGTTTATATTCCTGTTATTCTTTAGAGTCAACAGTTGGTTCACTATTGTTTAGTTGTTCTTTTATTATTTAAACAAGGGCATGCATGTAATCTTACTTATTATTAGTAAATTAATAATACAGGGCAGCAGATAAAATCACTTTGTACAATCTCTTCTGGACTCACAGCCCTAGTTTTTTTTCCTTCTATACTCTCTCCCATCTTCTTCTCTGTTCTCTCTATTTCAGATCTGTGTTTCTTATTTTTCTTCATTAAGAGCAGATTAGGTCTGTTCACATGGTACCGGAGCACCAGTGATAGACCTAGTCTGTTCTTCATGCCATAACTGGACTGCTTTGAAAATAACTGGACTGATTGCCCTCAAAGTATAGGAGGCTTTGATGCCTCAGGTTGTGGTGAAATGTGAGTCATTGGTGGTTTTCTAAACTCTCTTTATCTGGCAATTCAGAGAGGGGCTGTTAGTGAATGGTACAGGTTAGAAACTCCAATCTATGGTTTGTTTGGTGAGTAATTTGTGAAAACAGTGTGATTAGATGAGAAAGTCTTTATCCAATTGGTGTTTATGAAATTTGATGTAATCTGTAATATATGCCGCAGAGGGGTTTTTTTGTCTTTTCCTCTTATTTTATTATGTACGGTTGCCCTTGTATTTAATCTAAAGCTGTGCCGCCAGCAAGGATTTTTTTGGGCTCTCATTCTTTTCTCTTCTTCCTTGCTGAAAACATGGTACCAGAGCTGGTCGGTGCTCTGTAAATTTCTTCTCTGCATTGGTCGAAGGATTCCTCTGTATTTTTGTGAACTGAGAATGAAGGAAACAAACTTGTTTTGGACCTGAGAACTGTTCGGCTGCATCTCTCTCGTCTGTTCTGAGCTGAAACTGAACTGAAGTGATTCCAGAAGTTGTTGATGTTTGGTTGAATCTTCCTAAGAGGTCGGCTGTTGTTTATTCTCTGTTGTTTCTTACTTTGTCTTGGACTGGAAAACCCAGAATTCTCTCAGACTGAACTAGGACATTTTTAAACCCTTTTTTTCTTGGTTCTTGGTGCTGATACCAAGAACAGGTTAAGGTTTGCCTTTAACGAATGATATAAGGTGGGCTTAATGCCTTGGTGGGTTGGATGATCCCGAAACCATTTTTCTTGTGAAGTAATTTGTAGGTCATGAGTGACCTGGTTCGTCTGACTGGTACAGCAGTTGTTTACTAATGTTTGTGGCTAATATTAGCCTTGGGGAGATCTGCTACACCTGTGAGAGTGTTCAGGTGGCTAGTACAGCGGCAGAATACTGATGTTTGTGGCTTAATATTAGCCTTGGAGGCCTATTTGACCTGGCAAAGTGTGTTACTACAAGAACTGAAATTGTATCCTGACTGTTAGAACACTTAGAGTGAGGTCTGTGTAGTTTTTTGTGGGGGTGTGTGGACTGAAATCATGAATACTGAAAATTCTGCAACCTCAGGAACCACCATGAATCAGGGTGGAATGAGTAGTGGTCATGATTCCATGAATTTTCCAACGACTATTACCCCTTTGGATGGTAGGAATTACCTGGCATGGTCTAAGGAGATGTAGCTGTATATCACAGCTAGGGTTAAGGAAGGATATATTAATGGGAAAATAAAGGAACCTTGGGTTGGTACTGCTGAATACGATAAATGGGACCAAGAGAATTGCATGATTATGTCCTGGCTTTTGACATCCATGTTACCATCTGTCAAACAGAATTTTATGTGGGCCAAGAAAGCAAAAGAAATATGGGACCAAGTGAAGGAAACTTACTCAGAGCAGAGGCACTATGCTAGAATTTATTAGCTATAAGCAGAATCTTCGACAAGTAGGGAGAAAGGAGCTTATCGACCTATTATTTCTGCCCTCACTTCAGTTTGGAAAGAATTAGACTATTATCAAAGCATTGATTGGGAAAGTGAAAAGATGCCAAGGCCTATAGACAACTAGTCTCACAACAAAGGGCGTTTGCTTTCCTTCTGGGTTTGAATCCCATGTATGAACCTATTCGTGTTCAGATTTTGGGCAGCAAGGATCTTCCGTCTATCCAAGAGATATATGCACTTGTTCAGTCTGAAGAGAATAGGAAGTCTGTTATGAATCCTCCTGAGGGGGAGACCATTGCTCTAGCTGTAAGGCTATGTTTGGTTTGAAGGAAAAAGTAGGGAAAGGAAAGGAAAGGAAGGGAAACCTTTACAAATCTTGTATAGGTTTCCCTGCATTTCCCTTCCTTTCCCTACTCTTTCCTTCAAACCAAACATGGTGTAAGGGATTATGTTCACTGTGGCATTATGATCTTTGTGACAGGTTGGGGATGATTGACATCTACGCCCCAACTTGAGGGGGAGTGATGTAATCTATAATATATGCCACAGAGGGGTTTTTTGTCTTTTCCTCTTCTTTTATTATGTACGGTCGCCCTAGTATTTAATCTAAAGCTGTGCTGCCAGCAAGGAATTTTTTTGGGCTCTCATTCTTTTCTCTTCTCCTCTTGTTCTTCTCCTCTTCCTTTTTCCTCTTCCTTACTTGACTGTTGATTGAACTGTGTTTTCTGTTTTTCCCTAAGTTGCAGCTAGAGTTTCTTGGTGAATAGGCTGTGGTGGAAATTAGTGAAAGCATATTTCAAAACTGTTTTTGATACTATGGCATCATCTGGGAGTGAAACTAAGTCTAGTGTGATAGTGCTGCCAGACTGTATGGCTATCCAAATGATCTCAATGGGGCAAATTACATACCTTGGTTAAAATCTATAGCAAGTAGATTTGACTGCTAGGGGGTAAACTAAGTATATTATGGATAAGAAGCCTGATCTTCAGGGTACAATGAGCACAAGAGAATGAACAAATCATGATTTGTCTTTGGCATAGCATGGAATCCCACATTAGTGTAAACTTGATGCTAAATAATTATACTCCGGACAAGATAGTGTGACAAGGATTTATCAACTATATCAAGATTATTTTCAGTTGTAGCAAGGTGAGATGACAGGTGAAGAAATTGGTATGCTAGTCTTAAAAGAGTCTTCAATTGGATGTTGCCCAATTTCTTTAAGGACTAAGGTCTAAATACAAGCCTGTTTGTGTACAGATCTTGGGTAGTAGTGAGATACCTACACTATCAAAGGTTTTCTCTAGAGTTAGGAGGGTTTCTAATCCATAGAATGGCAGTTCTTCCCTACTTGAAAACTCTGTTCTAGCCACAACTGGAGGTGGAGGCATATGAGGCAGAGGTGGTGGTCATGGAATGAGAGGTGGCCGTGGAAGTGGTAGAGATGGTGGTGCTTTTAGAGGCTGAGGACCTTTGGTGTTGGAGCCTTGGAGGACGTGGCTTAGTGCATTAGTGCAGCCATTGTGGGCATGGACACTACCAATTTTTACTATGATCTTCATGGCCCATTGTCCACATGGTCTAATCATGCTTCTATTGGAGACAATCATCATATTACTAGTGATGATTAAACTGCCTTACGTACTGGTAAATAAAAGGAGATGGTTTTTGTTGTGTAAAACCTAGAAAACATAGATTCGAATGGCACACAAAAATGAAGTAAATAAGTGATAAAGAGAAGCAAGAAACAAAGCACACATAGATATACATGGTTCGGCTTCTAGCCTACGTCCACGGGCAGAGGAGCAGAAATCCACTATAGAAATTAGCAATGGAGATTACAGAGTTGTGTAAATCCTCTCTCATAGAAACCCCAAACCCCAATACACCCAATCTCTCAAAATTAAACTTTTCAAAGCCAAAGATACATAAAAGAAAAATCCCCCAAACAACATATTAGTAGAGATGGAATGGAAGGAATAGGAAGAAGAGAGGAGAGAGAGAAGAGAGATGGGAGAAGAGAAGAGAGAGTATCAGTTCTGGTGGCGCCAGAATATTTTATTATTTATAGGGCATCACTTAAAAAAGGGGAAAAGACCCTTATGCCCCTGTGGTACTTACAGTGTATAAACAATATAGAACTAAATATAAAACTGAACTATTTTAACATAGTAAACAAAAAATATGCTAAACAGAATAATAAACTAAACTATTCCAACACTCCCCTTCAAGTTGGGACATAGATGCCAATCATGCTCGACTTGTCACACAGTTCACTGTGCCACATGTGGTAAAGGCCCTTGGTGAAAATGTCTGCAAGTTGTTCTCCTGAACTAACATAGGGAGTGCACACCTCTCCACTCACAAGTTTTTCCCTAATAAAATGCTTGTCCACTTCAATATGTTTTGTCCTGTCATGGAGGATTGGGTTGGTTGCAATGTTGATAGCAGCTTTATTGTCACAATAGAGTGACATTGGGTTGTTGACTGCAAAACCCAATTCGCCTAATAGGTTCTTTTTTTTTATGAATCCTAATAGGTTCTTTATCCACATGATTTCAGCAACTCCATGAGACATAGCTCTATATTCCGCTTCAGCACTGGACCTAGCTACCACACTTTGTTT